GGACTGAATGATGGTGAAAGTTTTTCTTTTTCGGGCCACCCTGCCTTGGTGGCCACCCTGCCTTGGTGGCCACCCTGCCTTGGTGGCCACCCTGCCTTGGTGGGCCACCCTGCCTTGGTGGCCACCCTGCCTTGGTGGCCACCCTGCCTTGGTGCCCACCCTGCCTTGGTGGCCACCCTGCCTTGGTGGCCACCCTGCCTTGGTGGCCACCCTGCCTTGGTGGCCACCCTGCCTTGGTGGCCACCCTGCTTTGGTGGCCACCCTGCCTTGGTGGTCACCCTGCCTTGGTGGCCACCCTGCCTTGGTGGCCACCCTGCCTTGGTGGCCACCCTGCCTTGGTGGCCACCCTGCCTTGGTGGGCCACCCTGCCTTGGTGGCCACCCTGCCTTGGTGGCCACCCTGCCTTGGTGGCCACCCTGCCTTGGTGGCCACCCTGCCTTGGTGGCCACCTTGCCTTGGTGGGCCACCCTGCCTTGGTGGCCACCCTGCCTTGGTGGCCACCCTGCCTTGGTGGCCACCCTGCCTTGGTGGCCACCCTGCCTTGGTGGGCCACCCTGCCTTGGTGGCCACCCTGCCTTGGTGGCCACCCTGCCTTGGTGGCCACCCTGCCTTGGTGGCCACCCTGCCTTGGTGGGCCACCCTGCCTTGGTGGCCACCCTGCCTTGGTGGCCACCCTGCCTTGGTGGCCACCCTGCCTTGGTGGCCACCTGCCTTGGTGGCCACCCTGCCTTGGTGGCCACCTTGCCTTGGTGGCCACCCTGCCTTGGTGGCCACCCTGCCTTGGTGGCCACCCTGCCTTGGTGGCCACCCTGCCTTGGTGGCCACCCTGCCTTGGTGGCCACCCTGCCTTGGTGGGCCACCCTGCCTTGGTGGCCACCCTGCCTTGGTGGCCACCCTGTCTTGGTGGCCACCCTGCCTTGGTGGCCACCCTGCCTTGGTGGGCCACCCTGCCTTGGTGGCCACCCTGCCTTGGTGGCCACCCTGCCTTGGTGGGCCACCCTGCCTTGGTGGCCACCCTGCCTTGGTGGCCACCCTGCCTTGGTGGGCCACCCTGCCTTGGTGGCCACCATGCCTTGGTGGGCCACCCTGCCTTGGTGGCCACCCTGCCTTGGTGGCCACCCTGCCTTGGTGGGCCACCCTGCCTTGGTGGGCCTCCCTGCCTTGGTGGCCACCCTGCCTTGGTGGCCACCCTGCCTTGGTGGCCACCCTGCCTTGGTGGCCACCCTGCCTTGGTGGGCCACCCTGCCTTGGTGGCTATCCTGCCTTGGTGGCCACCCTGCCTTGGTGGCCACCCTGCCTTGGTGGCCACCCTGCCTTGGTGGCCACCCTGCCTTGGTGGCCACCCTGCCTTGGTGGCCACCCTGCCTTGGTGTGCCACCCTGCCTTGGTGGCCACCCTGCCTTGGTGGCCACCCTGCCTTGGTGGCCACCCTGCCTTGGTGGCCACCCTGCCTTTGTGGCCACCCTGCCTTGGTGGGCCACCTTGCCTTGGTGGCCACCCTGCCTTGGTGGCCACCCTGCCTTGGTGGCCACCCTGCCTTGGTGGCCACCCTGCCTTGGTGGCCACCCTGCCTTGGTGGCCACCCTGCCTTGGTGGCCAACCTGCCTTGGTGGCCACCCTGCCTTGGTGGCCACCCTGCCTTGGTGGCCACCCTGCCTTGGTGGCCACCCTGCCTTGGTGCGCCACCCTGCCTTGGTGGGCCACCCTGCCTTGGTGGCCACCCTGCCTTGGTGGCCACCCTGCCTTGGTGGCCACCCTGCCTTGGTGGCCACCCTGCCTTGGTGGCCACCCTGCCTTGGTGGCCACCCTGCCTTGGTGGCCACCCTGCCTTGGTGGCCACCCTGCCTTGGTGCGCCACCCTGCCTTGGTGGGCCACCCTGCCTTGGTGGCCACCCTGCCTTGGTGGCCACCCTGCCTTGGTGGCCACCCTGCCTTGGTGGCCACCCTGCCTTGGTGGCCACCCTGCCTTGGAGGCCACCCTGCCTTGGTGCGCCACCCTGCCTTGGTGGGCCACCCTGCCTTGGTGGCCACCCTGCCTTGGTGGCCACCCTGCCTTGGTGGCCACCCTGCCTTAGTGGCCACCCTGCCTTGGTGGCCACCCTGCCTTGGTGGCCACCCTGCCTTGGTGGCCACCCTGCCTTGGTGGCCACCCTGCCTTGGTGGCCACCCTGCCTTGGTGGCCACCCTGCCTTGGTGCACCACCCTGCCTTGGTGGGCCACCCTGCCTTGGTGGCCACCCTGCCTTGGTGGCCACCCTGCCTTGGTGGCCACCCTGTCTTGGTGGCCACCCTGCCTTGGTGGCCACCCTGCCTTGGTGGCCACCCTGCCTTGGTGGCCACCCTGCCTTGGTGGCCACCCTGCCTTGGTGCGCCACCCTGCCTTGGTGGCCACCCTGCCTTGGTGGCCACCCTGCCTTGGTGGCCACCCTGCCTTGGTGGCCACCCTGCCTTGGTGGCCACCCTGCCTTGGTGGCCACCCTGCCTTGGTGGCCACCCTGCCTTGGTGGCCACCCTGCCTTGGTGGCCACCCTGCCTTGGTGGCCACCCTGCCTTGGTGGCCACCCTGCCTTGGTGGCCATCCTGCCTTGGTGGCCACCCTGCCTTGGTGGCCACCCTGCCTTGGTGGCCACCCTGCCTTGGTGGCCATCCTGCCTTAGTGGGAATCGGCCAGTGTGATAATAAAAAAAATCAATTTTTAAAATGGTGGAGTGGTAAGCCAGCGGAAGGCCTCGGTCAGATGACCAAAAGCTCCAGCTGCGGGTCATCATGTGTGACCCGCGTCAGCAAACACTTACCTGGAGTTTACCTGGAGAGGGTTTCGGGGGTCAACGCCCCCGCGGCTCGGTCTGAGACCAGGCCTCATGGTGGATCAGAGTCTGATCAACCAGGCTGTTACTGCTGGCCGCAAGCAAGCTAACGTACGAACCACAACCCGGTTAATTAGATACTGAATTAAGGTGCCTTGTCCTATTTCCTGACAAACCTGTCCTAACCTCGGAGACCTTATACAATACTGACTATTTCTCGTATTTTCTGTGCCCATGTGTGTTTATAGCACTGATCTCTGTGTCTATTTATTTACAACATTGTACAAACTAAAAACTAACATTAATTACATTAACAATTATGTTTTGTGGTTGTAAATAGAATCTCTCTTTGAAAATATAATTGAAGTTTAGAGACATTTGTACATTTGGGTTCAATAGCGAGGTCCTCTTCAGTGGATTGTGTGAGGCTGAAGTAGCATAATGCTGTGTTGCCATCCTTTATGACTGGAGTTAGAATCCTTGCAGGATACTTGGTTAATTAGACACCAGGATATCTTTATTTGAGGATGTTTTGCCAGCCAGTGGCTTCATCAGTTCAACACAGAGATGAGCTACGAGGAAGTGAAAGAAGAGGTAATCAGTCCCCACAGCCTAAGATCAGGTGCTCAATACTGCAGTGAACAAAAAAACACTGATCAGGCGAAACGTCTTAAAGTGATGATACCTAGCTGATAGTTATCTGACTAATACCTGTGTCAGGGGACACTTGTCCAGTGTCAAGGGACACTTGTCCTGTGTCAGGGGACACTTGTTCTATGCCAGGGGACACTTGTCCTGTGTCAGAGGACACCTGTCCTGTGTCAGGGGGGCACTTGTCCTGTGTCAGGGGACACTTGTCCTGTGTCAGGGGACACTTGTCCTGTGTCAGGGTAAACTTGTCCTGTGTCAGGGGGACACTTGTCCTGTGTCAGGGGACACTTGTCCTGTGTCAGGGTAAACTTGTCCTGTGTCAGGGGGACACTTGTCCTGTGTCAAGGGACACTTGTCCTGTGTCAGGGGACACTTGTCCTGTGTCAGGGAACACTTGCTCTGTGTCAGGGGACACTTGTCCAGTGTCAGGGGACACTTGTCCAGTGTCAGGGGACACTTGTCCAGTGTCAGGGTACACTTGTCCAGTGTCAGGGGACACTTGTCCAGTGTCAGGGTACACTTGTCCAGTGTCAGTGTACACTTGTCCTGTGTCAGGGGACACTTGTCCAGTGTCAGGGTACACTTGTCCAGTGTCAGGGTACACTTGTCCTGTGTCAGGGGACACTTGTCCAGTGTCAGGGTACACTTGTCCAGTGTCAGGGTACACTTGTCCAGTGTCATGGTACACTTGTCCAGTGTCAGGGTACACTTGTCCAGTGTCAGGGGACACTTGTCCAGTGTCAGGGGACACTTGTCCAGTGTCAGGGGACACTTGTCCAGTGTCAGGGGACACTTGTCCAGTGTCAGGGGACACTTGTCCAGTGTCAGGGGACATTTGTCCATTGTCAGGGGACACTTGTCCAGTGTCAGAGGACACTTGTCCAGTGTCAGGGGACACTTGTCCAGTGTCAGGGTACACTTGTCCAGTGTCAGGGTACACTTGTCTAGTGTCAGGGTACACTTGTCCAGTGTCAGGGTACACTTGTCCAGTGTCAGGGTACACTTGTCCAGTGTCAGGGTACACTTGTCCAGTGTCAGGGTACACTTGTCTAGTGTCAGGGTACACTTGTCCAGTGTCAGGGTACACTTGTCCAGTGTCAGGGTACACTTGTCCAGTGTCAGGGTACACTTGTCCAGTGTCAGGGTACACTTGTCCAGTGTCAGGGTACACTTGTCCAGTGTCAGGGTACACTTGTCCAGTGTCAGGGTACACTTGTCCAGTGTCAGGGGACACTTGTCCAGTGTCAGGGTACACTTGTCCAGTGTCAGGGTACACTTGTCCTGTGTCATGGGATACTTGTCCTGTGTCCTGACAAGAAAAACACTTTAACAAACAATAGACATACACTGAGAGATGTATGCCTCTCAGTATACATACACTGAGGTATTAAAGTATTCTTGCAAGGCGACACTAGAGACTTAAAACCCCAGTCAATCAACTAACAACAATAAGACCGAAATGTCCAAAAATCTCAACGTTTTATTTCCAGACTGAGTTTTTAATTACAATATGTGTGTGCTAATTGTTTATGACTGTTTACAGCGCATCTCTGAGCAGTTTACAGCAATGTACAAGAGGAAAGCCTTCCTCCACTGGTATACAGGAGAAGGTATGGATGATATGGAATTTACCGAGGCTGAGTCCAACATGAACGACCTGGTCTCAGAGTACCAGCAGTACCAGGAGGCCACCGCTGATGAGTACGAGGAAGAGGAAGAGCATGAGGAGGAGGAACCAGAGTACAACTATTAAGAACAGATTATAAACGAAGACGGGAACTGCAAATATAGAGAGAGTACGACATCTGTAGACAAGGACTAGACTAGATGTAACACTGACATACACAAGAATCACTGTAGACAAGGACAAGTCTAAATGTAACACTGACATACACAAGAATCACTGTAGACAAGGACAAGACTAGATGTAACACTGACATACACAAGAATCACTGTAGACAAGGACAAGTCTAAATGTAACACTGACATACACAAGAATCACTGTAGACAAGGACTAGACTAGATGTAACACTGACATACACAAGAATCACTGTAGACAAGGACAAGTCTAAATGTAACACTGACATACACAAGAATCACTGTAGACAAGGACAAGTCTAAATGTAACACTGACATACACAAGAATCACTGTAGACAAGGACAAGTCTAAATGTAACACTGACATACACAAGAATCACTGTAGACAAGGACAAGTCTAAATGTAACACTGACATACACAAGAATCACTGTAGACAAGGACTAGACTAGATGTAACACTGACATACACAAGAATCACTGTAGACAAGGACAAGTCTAAATGTAACACTGACATACACAAGAATCACTGTAGACAAGGACAAGTCTAAATGTAACACTGACATACACAAGAATCACTGTAGCAAGGATAAGTCTAAATGTAACACTGACATACACAGAATCACTGTAGACAAGGACAAGTCTAAATGTAACACTGACATACACAAGAATCACTGTAGACAAGGACTAGACTAGATGTAACACTGACATACACAAGAATCACTGTAGACAAGGACAAGACTAGATGTAACACTGACATACACAAGAATCACTGTAGACAAGGACAAGACTGGACAAAACACTGACAACACCAAGAATCACTGTAGACCAAGGACAAGACTGGAACAAACACTGACACACACAAGGAATCACTGTAGACAAGGACAAGACTGGACAAAACACTGGACACACACAAGAATCACTGTAGACAAGGACAAGACTGGACAAAACACTGACGCACACAAGAATCACTGTAGACAAGGACAAGACTGGACAAAACACTGACACACACAAGAATCACTGTAGACAAGGACAAGACTGGACAAAACACTGACACACACAAGAATCACTGTAGACAAGGACAAGACTGGACAAAACACTGACACACACAAGAATCACTGTAGACAAGGACAAGACTGGACAAAACACTGACACACAAAAGAATCACTGTAGACAAGGACAAGACTGGACAAAACACTGACGCACACAAGAATCACTGTAGACAAGGACAAGACTGGACAAAACACTGACACACACAAGAATCACTGTAGACAAGGACAAGACTGGACAAAATACTAACGTACACAACGACACTTGACAAAAACCCACAAAATAGGAGTAAAAGAACGCTAAACGAAATAACTAACAAATATGCAAGAACGCAGGTAAATAACGACACTAACAACCACTGTAATAAACAACCACTAGAAGAACAACTAAAGAATTCTTGTTTGTAGAGAGAAGTAAGGTGAGGTAGACATGAATGTGAACAGTGACATGACTAGTGGGCAGTCATGGATGTGAACAGTGACATGACTACTGAACAGTTATGGGATATAAACACACTCGGTGACGTGACTAGTGAACAGTTATCGATATAAACACGCTCACTGACATGACTAGTGAACAGTTATCGATATAAACACGCTCACTGACATGACTAGTGACAGTTATCGATATAAACACGCTCACTGACATGACTAGTGAACAGTTATCGATATAAACACGCTCACTGACATGACTAGTGAACAGTTATCGATATAAACACGCTCACTGACATGACTAGTGAAACAGTTATCGATTAAAACACGCTCACTGACATGACTAGTGAACGTTATCGATATGAACACGCTCAGTGACATGACTAGTCAGCAACTATAGTTATGAGCACATTCAGTGACATGACTAGTGGGCAGTTATGGATATGAACACAGTGACATGACTAATCAGCGGTTATAGTTATGAAAACCATGCTCCAGTGACATGAATAGTCAGCAGTTATAGCTATGAAACTGCTTAGTGAAATGACTAGTCAGCGTTTTAGTTATGAACACATTCAGTGACATGACTAGTCTAGCATTTATAGTTTGAAACATGCTCATAGACATTACTATTCAGCAGTTACTGACATGACAGTTCCGTTTATATAGATCAAAAAACATATCTTTCACAATTTCTTATTTTCTATTTGTTTGAATAATTACAAATAAGTGATCGGTAAATAACAAAACAACGAGGAGAGGTTAGGTAGTAGTCTAGGCCCTTTACACATTGTCTCCAGCTCTTCGTTCAGGAGCTTGCAATACTAAAAGAAAATGAAACACATTAGGAAAATCCTAGAAATAATCTCGCACAAGTCTCCCAGACCAGCATCCGCATCTAACTTCCTTGTGATGGTTCATTTCTGGGATCTTTCTCTCTTTTTTTTATTTTTTTCGTATTGCAAGTCCTGATGAAGATTAGAAGCAGCATGAAAGGCATTGGAGCTGCTGCCTAACCCCGCTTGTGGCTTTGTTTTCTGTAGCGTTTGTGTTTGAAATGAGTTTAGATTTTTAAGCTAATTGAAAATGTTTATACTGCAGTGCCCTTAAAAAAATTAAAGAGGGTGGTATATCTAATAAACCAGGAGGAACGGGATAGGGTTCAAAACCATGTCCGTTCTGTGTTGACTTATAGGAGTGTTAATTACAATTACAAGAATCATATCTGCATAGATTTTAGGCTTAAAAAACACATTAATGTCATTATACTCTACGGAAAAGTAGTAAATTTAAAATATTGCTGGACTAAATGCAAGTAATATTACTGATTTATAGTTTAGGATATTAAGATTTACATAGTAATACTGTAATAAAAATTTTAATTGTACGTTCTGTCTCTGAACCACAAACACCGTTAGTGACGGAAACCGTACATTTTAATAAATTATTCTAAGGAAATATATGTTTCATTTTCAACATTGATTTATCGTATTCTGACTGAAAATTTGAATTGTAATGACCTTCAAGAACCAATTTCTTTTCATATAGTCTATTTGAGAGGTTAGTAAAGTTCGTCAGGAAAAAAGGAAAGTGTTTCCTGACGCGGGTCTTAATGATGACCCGCAGCTGGAGCTTTTGGTCATCTGACGAGGTCTTCCCTGGAGGGTTAGACACCCAAGAGATAACCCAGGTAGAGTGGGTTAAGCACCAGGATAAACCCTGGGTTGGGAGGGTTAGTACCCGGATAAACCGGGGTGGCTAACAGTTGTTTTACACAGTACGTCAAAAAGTTGCTACGGACAATGAAAGTAGCAGCAGCGAGAGGGCAATTACTGAGCTTCCCAGCACTCGGGCTTCGACCCAAAGTGGGGCGTGGCTCCAATAGGATCCTTGTAGTGCTTATTGCCTTTGCACCTCTGACATCATCTGCTGCTGTGTAGCTGCCTCACCTTCGAGCCCAGTGTGGGCGGGGTCTGAGGCAGCCCAAGATGTCTAACTTCTCCGCTCTGAGCCCTGTGGGGGCGAGGGGTTCATGCTAGCCTGGGGACAACCTACTTCTCAGATGTTTGAGGAGGTATTGTACATCTCCCATGGCAGACAGTGGTCTGAGAAACTCCCTTTGACAGGGAGCCAAGGCTCGGGCGGGCGATTATTCCTTGCCAATTTACAACAACAACTAAAATACAGTAAGGAAATACAGTCTTAAGAAATCTTATACAACTAAAGAAATAAAACAGAAAAACATTGGGGTCGATGCAAAATGTGGTTACAGAATCAATTTATATTTCAGATATGATTAACAAGGATGTGTTGGTAATATGCTGTAAGGTTTATATGACTATTCTGAAAACTTGCCATGTTTCGACACTTAGATGTCCACTGATACTTCCCATACAAACAGTGCTGCTAGTAATACTAATTAACTTAGCGTGAGTCTTGCAGTAACAACAGTACTGCTAGGACTTTATTGACCCTTAAGAAAAGTTTTGACACAGAAGACCACGGCATCCTACTCCACATACTTGACCATTATGCGGTAAAAGGAGGCCAATCACATGCCATATTTCAAATCTTATCTTACTAAAGTATCCAGTATGTCACCATTAAAGACACAACCCTTCCCCCCCGCAAACACAGCCACTTGATACTGCAGTATCTCAGGGAAGTGTCCTTGGTCCCCTGCTCTTCTCTTATACATCAATGATCTTCCAACGTATTCACAACACCTGAACCCATTCTCTTTGCTGACAACACGAATTATGTCTTTCTGCCTACCCCAAAATCTTGCCTCCCTCAACACCCATTGTTAACGAGGAGCTACTCAGGAATATACTACTTAGATAACAGCCAAAAACTTACACTTACCTCTGACAAACCCTTCTATATTATGTTTGGTAGCAGAGCAGGAGCTGCACAAATTAAAGTTACGATCGACAACACACTTATGGCCCAGACATTAATGAGGCAAATTCCTAGGCCTGCACCCCTCGACAACACCTTAATTTAGCACCAATATCCAACAACACATAAAAAAAAAGTATGCGGAAACGGTTGGGCATCCTCTCAAGATCGATACTATGTGCTGCAATCTGCCCTGCTTACACTTCCCATTCACTCATTATCCCTACCTCACCTATGCTATCTGGTGCTTGGGGATCAACAGCAGCAACACATCTAAAGCCAATAATAACTCAACAAAAAAGCCGCAGTAAAAATAATCCCTATATCCCATCCAAGAAACACACCCCCACTCTTCATAGATCTAATCTACTCCTGTTCAGAACAACCACACTTATACTGTGTAATCTACATATGCACGGGACCTGAAATTACCAATATTAACCTGAAAACTAAAAAAACTTTCTTGATAGTTGTGACAGGACCCACAGGCATAACACCAGACACAAACATCTCTATGACATTCCCCGTGTCCGACTAAGCCTTTACAAAAATTCAATGTACATAAAAGGGCTCCTTAAACTCTGGAACACCCTTCCTAGAAACTCTAGAACTGCTGGGGCACAACCATCACTTTCTAAAACTAACTGTTAGTAGACATCTATCTCCCTGATACACCCCGCTGTCAGCTAACTGCATGATAACCACCTGGTGGTTCACACTTACACTCACCCAGTTGACTATAAGCACAGAAATACGAATCTTAAAATAATGAATCCTAACTAGTCATAAGTTTGCCAGTGATACTCCAATATAGAAACTATGTATTGTAGGTTAGGTTAGGTAAGGTTCGTCAGGAAACAGGACAACTCGTTTTTTCTGACGCGGGTCTTAGTCAGTAATGACCGCTTGGGAGTCTTTTGTTCATCTGACGAGGCCTTCCGCTTGGCTTACCGGTCCACCCCTTTAAAAATTATGGTCATTTATAACCATTGTCTGTCTATATTATATATGTATTGTACCAAAACAAAAGCATTCACATTGCTAAATTTACAAACTGTAATGTAGTTACTTAGCCTTAATACCAACTTACTCCATAATCTGTAATAATTTAGAGTTATGAATTAATCTTAGTCTGCCTGAAATGCCTAGTCATGCTGGGTGTTGTGAAAGTGGGCGCCTCTGTAACTTA